TGATGTGTGTGCTCCTAATAACAGAGCCTCTAAATACATGGAAGAGACACTGACAGAACTGAAGAAAGTACTACAATTCCTCAATCACTGGAGAGCACTTTTAATGCCCCTCTCCCAACGACTGATAGAAAAGCAGAATGAAAAAAAAAGTCAGTAAAAACACGGAGGACCTGCAACACTGTCAGCATGACGGAGTTGACATGTACCAAACGCCGTCCCCAACAATGAAAAATTCACACCTTTCCTAAGTGTACATAGTCTGCTCACCAAGACAGACCATATTCTGAGCCACACAGCAAGTAAACTAAATTTAAAAGACTTAGTGTTAGAGCACATTTCCTGACCACAACGGAACTGAATCAGAAACCAAGAACAGCCAGATGCCTAGGAACCCCAAGCACACGGGCACCAGCAGCAGCTAATGACCCATGCTCAGGAGAGAAGTCACGTGGAGAGCAGAAAATACTTCAGACTGAATGACCTTGGAAAGACAGCATATGACAATCTGTGGGGTGCAGTGAAAGCAGTGCTCTGAGGGGAATGAACAGCTTGTGTCAGAGTATAGCCTGTGTCTATTCAGAGCTCTACAATCAGCAACCTGAGGCTCTACCAAGGGCTGACAGAAGAGCAAGATCAACCCAGAGTGAATAGAAGGAAGAAAAAATAATAATAAGGAAAGAAATTGGAAGCCAACAAAACATAGAGAAAATTAACAAAGCCAAAAGCTGATTCTTTGAAAAGATCAAACAGTTGACAAGATCCTAGCCAGCATGACCAAAATAACATGAGAGAAAAACATAAATCTTCAGTACCAGGGATGTAAGATTGGTTGTTGTTTCGGGTCTTCAGGGGACAATAAAAAGGTAGTATGAGTAACCTTCTGCTGATAAATTCAGTAACATTAAAACTTTAATAAGAGAACATCATGTATAACTTCATGCTGACAACTGCAGCTAAAAGGACAAATTCCTTAAAAAAAAAATACTTACCCCCAAATTCACACTAAGTGAGAGACAAGATCTGACTATTTCTGTAGCCTTTTTTTTAAATGAATTTTTAAACAAGGGAAACAAACCTTCCCACCAAGGAAGTTCCAGGTCTAGACGGTTTCACTGGTGATTTTATCAAACATTCAAAAAGATACTGCATCAAAGCTGCGTGAACCATTTCAGACAACAAAAGAGTAGGGAGAATTCCTCAGCTTGCTTTATGAGGCCAGCATAATCCTGACACAAAAACAGACAAGAGCACTGAAGAAAGACAGCTAGGAACCAATACTCCTCATGACTGCAGACAAGAAGGTCTTTAAAAAAAATGCTAGCAATATGGTAGCTCACAGAGAAAAAAATGTGACAGTGAATATATACATGTTCATGTACAACTGAAAAATTGTGCTCTACACTGGAGTTCGACACAACATTGTAAAATGACTATAAATCAACAAAAAATGTTTAAAAAATATTAGCGATACAGGAAATCTAGCAACATAGAAAAAGGACGATGCATCATGACCCAGGAGGGGTTGTCTCAGAATGCAAGGATGGTTTAACGTTTACAAATCCATCCACATAATTTACCATGATAACAGACTGAAGAGGGAAACCTCTGTGATTATTGTAAAGGACACAGAAAGAAAATGCATCTGACAAAATTAAAGATCCAACTACAACAGAACTCTCGGGGACCTAGAATAGAGCTACACGGGGTAGGAATTTAAAACCCAAGCTCACAGCACGCTCAGTGGCGGAGAAGGCTTTCCCCTCGAGATCAGGGACAAAACAAGGATTCCCGCTCTCGGGGCCCTTAGACAGTATCTCCTGGAGGTTCTAGTCTCTCTGCAGAAGGACAACAAACCATGCAAGTCAGAAAAGGAGTCATCAGCCAGCCTCCGAGCCTCGGAAGCCTCTGACTGCTCTGCTGCAGGGCCGTCCCATCCCTTCCGGAGCCCCAAGCGACCTCCCCGTTCAGTCTCAGCCTCGCGTTTCTTAACCAGAACAAAGACTTCAGGAAGTGGTCTTGGAGGCCAAGCAGTTCCCCGCCTCACCTCCCCGCATCCGGACGGCCCAGAGGGCGGCAAGGATCTTCCCCCAATAGTGGGGCGGGTCCAGAATTTCAGCCTATCCAATTTGTCACTGTTGCTGGCAGACACCAGCAGGAGAGCCCGTGGAAATTGACGTGTCTTACTTCCTTTTGCTGTTTTTCCTAAACCCCGACCTTCGCTGGTGCATTTAATGGCCTTTGCTTTTCTTGACATCTTTGTTCTCAGATTGCACCGGGGGAACCAGACAGTCAGCAGGCAAAGCTGCCGAGTCCGGGAGAGTGTGTCTCGGCAGGTGTGTATGCAGGGCTGAGCGGAGATCTGTTCGGAGGAGGGGCAGCCGAACAAGGGCGAGCAGGGCTGTGGATCCTGAGGGTCTCGGCCCCGAGGCAGCCTGTGTCCCTGCCCCAGTCTCCCTGCATGCAAGATGAGGCACCGGCAGTTGAGAGACGCAAGGCTCCTGGCCCTGGCCTGGCCAGGGCCACTGTTCAGCTGTCTGGTCTACCTGGTCCCCTGCTGCAAGGGTGGAACTGGGGAGGAGAGCTCCAGCCTTGGGAGGGGGTGCAAGGGCGGAGCTGACTGGAATCCCAGCAGGGCAACCTGGTAGAGTGAGAAGACCCGGAGGCCGGAAGTCACAGACCCACAGCTCTCCTACCCCCTGGGGTGGGGCGCTTAGCAGCTTAGGACCGGGGTCCTCACTCTGTAAAGGTGGAAGCAACATGGCTTAAATACAGATGTGGTGAGAATGCACTTCACACACATGCCGTCGCGAGCGCCACGATGCACAGCAAGTTTAACAATTGCACCTTCCTTCCCCTCCCCCGACCAGGAGGAAAGCCGGGCCCTGGGTGGGCTACCTGGATGGGAACCCCTCCCTGGGAACCCGCCAGGCCCGGGGCTTGGGGTCTGGGCTGGGCCCTCAGGCAAGAAGCAGGGGACATTGCACTGGACCCAACCCCACAGCAGCAATGGATGGCGAGCCCCCAGCCTCTGACTTGGCCCCCCACACCCAGAGTCTTCTCCCAGGCTTCTCCCCCAGGACACCCCACCCTGAGGTCCTGGCTCCCCCACCCCCAGCTTCTCCCTGTGTCTCCCCCTGCAGTGAAGGCCTCTTATCCACCCAAGCCCCAAGCCAGCTTCTAGACCAGCCTTGGTTTTCCAGCCCCACCCCAGCCATCAGCATGTCCTGTCCCCACTCTCCGAATGAGATTCGCCATCCACCCTGAAACTTCTCGCCTGGCTGCACCCCCAGGCCAAGCCCAGTCATCACTCGAGCGACCCTTTCAGCTGCCCCAGGACAACCACCTCGGCGCCCTCGACTCCTCCTCCACAGGCAGGCAGAGTTCTCAAATCGCAGATCAGACCCTGCCACCTCCCTTCCCTAAACCCCAGGGCTGCCTTGTCATGAGAACAGAATCTAAAGGCCTTTCTGTGACTGGTCAGGCCCTGGTCCCCTCCCAGCCCCGTGCCCTCTGCCCACCCAGGCCATGCTGGCCTTCTCTCTCCCCAGCCCCCCCAGATTCTCCAAATCTCACCCCACCCCAGCCTCCGGTGGGACACTCTCTCCCTTCCCGTGGGCTCCTCAGAGGGTTGGTCCGGCCCAAACGCCCTCCGGGTCCCGGCGCCCCACTCTTCGGCGGCGCAGCACCGACCACAGTTAGCAGCTCCGAGCTGTTGCATCTGCTTGCTTGCCTGCTTCCTATTCCCGCTGTGGGGAAAACAACTCTCCAAAAGATGCCCGCGTCCCAGTCCCTGGTCCCTGTGAACGTTGCCTCGGACGGAAAAGGTGTCTGTGCAACCGGAGTCGAGTTAAGGCTCTTGGAGGGGAGATCTTTCTGGATAATCCAGGTGGCCCCACGTGCCGTCCCAAGTGTCCTTACAAGAGGAGCCGCAGGGGAGAAGGATGTGAAGATGGAGTGGAGAGTTTGGAGCTGCTGGGCTCCAGGACTGAGCGATGTGGCCACCAGCCGATGAGCACGGCTACCTGTCTGCACTCCAGGGAAGAGGCTGCACCGCATGCAGCTGGGGGCAGCACAGAGTTGTGCTTGGAGTCGTGGCCGGGAGGAGGCGCCTGGCAAAGACCTTCAGGAACACAGGAAGATGGTGGGGACCAGCAAGGAGCCTGGTGCGAGCCGCAGGGAGAGGCCTGCTGGGTCCAGAGGAAGGGAGGGCTCCAGGCAGGAGGGGCACTGACCACACCGGGACGCTGCTGGTTTTCTAAGCGGGACCACAGCAGCTCTGAGCAGGGGGCTCGGGAGAGACCCGGAGGAGGAACTACAGACACAGTGAGTGGAGACCGTGTCTCTGCACCAGGGAGCAGAGAGGTGGGGCGATGGTCTAGGGGAAAAGGGTAAGGAGGTTTCCTTTCCTTAAGCAAGGAGAGTAAGACCACCATTGGTGGCGGGTGGGAATAGTCCCACAAGGAGGAGCAGAGCGAGGGGGAGGGCGGGGCTGACGGGAGGACAGCCCCCCGGGGCAGAGGGAGGCGCACAGCCCCCAGGACTGCAGCGCAGCGCGGGGAGGGGAGCAGATCTGCGAGGCTAGGACCGTCAGAGCTGGGGCAGCTGAGGCGGGACTCCTGGCGCACCAAGCCCCCTTGGCGGGAGGTCATGAGTTCGTGTGGGGTGGCCTGAGGGGTCGTGGCAGCCCTCGGAGAGCTGGGAGGGTGAGGCCGGCCAGGAGGCGCCAAGGGTGGTTCCTGGAGGCCCAGCTGGACGGGGCGGAGGGGAGGCTGCAGGGAGGGGTAAGGCGGGCTGGGGCCAGGGCAGTGTGGGGTCTCGGGGCCGTCGGCTCCTGGGTGAACCCTGCAGGAGGACGCCACACACCACGTCCCACGAGGCCGGGGGTCCTCCAGAGGGACGATGCACAGCCCCCAGCACGGGCCCGGCACACAGTGGGGCCGGGAAAGCTGGCGGCGGTTTGGTCCCTGCTGCTGTACCGGCCACCTCAATGACACTGCACCATGTCCAGAACCAACCGCATCTCCTTCCCAGGTGAAGGTGACTTCCGAAGGTTAGTAGTCTTGCCCGGCTACGTAGACCCTAGGCTGACGAGGGAAGGCAGCCGGGGTCCTGGTACAAGCTTGTGGCCAGCGCCCAGCCGGTGCCACAGCCCCAGGGAGCCTCTGTCTGGCCCAGCCTGTCACACAGTGGGTCTCCATCAACACTTGCCCTTCCTGAGGGTCAGTTCAACCCAAGGAGGCTGAGAAGGGAGGGTGGAGGTGGAGGTGGAGGGAGGGCTGCGGGGGGATGGGCTCTGCGCCTGGAACGGGGACAGCGGGCAGCCCGCTGGCTCCGAGCGCAGGAGGCCGGGCAGCTCCAGCTCACATGGCTTCAGCCCCACTTGCTGGGAAATTTTCGGGGAAGAGAGGAAAGAGTTAGTGCTGTTGCCTTGGCAACCACTGTGTCACATCGTAATGAGGCCGGAGCGGAAGGAGGCTCATCTTAAAGGAGCACGAAGCCACCGACTCGGCGGACTTCCTGAGGAGTCACAGCGGGAACTCGGCGCCTCCTGAGCTCTGGCTTGAGTTCCACCAGGACAGCAGGAGGGGGTGGGGTGCCTAGGACCTGCTGTACAAAGGGGCCCAGGGCGGGCACCAAGGGACAGGAGGCTGCCCCAGCCCCCCGGGCCCTCAGACGTGAGCCGCAAGCCCACCTCTGCTTGGAGCCGCTGCTCTGCGGGGCTTTGCGGCCTCCCAGGTGGGAGAGCCGGCAGGTGAGAAGACAGACAGCAGTCCAGGCTGGTCAGCAGAGAGGTGCGGCAGCGGCCGGCACGGCGGTCACCTTGCACCCTGACTTCGGCCGACCCCACAGCGCTGGATGGGAGCTAGGAACACAGGAGGGCTGCTGGGGGCCTGGGTGGGCTCTGCCCCGACTCTGATCCAGAATGACGACCAACCAACGAGGCGGCTCGGGTGGCAGGAGTGAACGTGAACGTTAGAAACCCTGACAATGCGAATGTCAGCGCTGAAAATGCAGAGATGGGCGAGGGGACGCCAGGGCAGAGGGAGGCGTGACCACCGCCTCATCTTCCACAGCAGGACGTGGCTGTCGTGGTCAGGATGGAGGCTGGGGGCGGCGGTGTGGGGCACTCCACTTCCAGACGGGTGCAGAACCGTCCACGCAGACCTTTCTCCTTCCGCTTTGGAGGGTTCTCCCAGGAGACTGCAGCTCGTGCAGTGAAGATAAAAGAGCTTTTAGTTAGCAATTTCTTCAGCTTGACTTCGTTTTCCCATCCTCTGCTAAGACCAGGCACAAGCTAGGACTTCCAAGCAGCAAAGCACACACGGGTGGCTTCGTTCCCCTCCATCCGCGCGCGCGGGCCTGTCCGTCCTCTCTGCCTCCAGCCCTGTGTCTGTGCCCCAGGCACGGTCCTGGGCCCTTCCCCAGGGCCGCCGGTCCTCACCGCAAGCAGCTGGCACGCAGGGGCTGCCTCGGCCACGCCTCCCACAGAAGGGAGGGCACGGGGCGGGGAGGAGCCCGCGGCCGGGGGCAGGCCTGGCTCCAGGGGACACCGTCTGACACTTCTTCGTCCCTCCTCTGCACACATGCATGTCCATGTCTGCACCGTGACCACCAGGTGGCAACCCCGGCTACGCGGGGCAGCTGTCACTGTTGCCACCTCCTTTTTTGTATTTTATTTTTTCAAAGAAATAATGAGTCTGTGTAACCTTTAAAAACAACTTTATTGGATATAATTTACCTACCAGTTCAAGTCAAAGATTTTGGTATATTATATGATTCTTTTTAATTGTGGTAAAAATTGTACATAGTAAAATATATAAATGTATACAGTAAAATGCTGACCATTTTACGTGTCCAATTCAGTGGCATTAATGACATTTGCCATCTTATGCAACTGTCACCACTATTTCCAAAACTTTTTCGTCACCCCAAACAGAAATTCTGTATCATCAGGTAACTGCGCCCCATCCACCCTCCCTTCCGTCCCTTGTAACTTCTAATCGACTCTCAGTTTCTGCCAATTTGCCTTTTCTAGGTCCCTCCTCTAAGTGGAAACATGCAACACGCATCCTTTTGAAACCGGCCCGTTTTACTCAGCAGAATGTCCTCAGGGTGCATCCCTGCAGCCTGTGTGAGAATTCCCTTCCTTGCTAGGGCTGAATGGTATTCCTCTGCACAAACACACCACATTTTGTTGATTCGCTCATCTGCCAATGGACACTGGGTTCCCATTTTTTGCTGCTGTCGGTGATGCAGCTATGCACAGGTGTACAGATACCTGTTTGAGAATCTGCCGTCAACTCCTTTGGCTCCGTGCCCAGAAGGGCAGTTACTGGTTCATATACTTATATGATTTTTTAAATAAAGGCAATTCTTGCTATGATTAGATCTTAGCTCTCAGTCCACCCGAGGAAGTCCACACAGCCTTCCTCCCCCGCCCATAAAACAAAGCCCCAAAGACTGGGCCAGCCCCACGACCGTGTCCCCCGCCCTCCGTCCGCATCCGTGCCCCCAGCAGCTGCTGCAGCCCTGGCACGGGGACGTGGGGGCTGAGGAAGAGGCTGGGAGGTGCCCCAGGGCCGTGGGGGCTCAAGGCTCTCTCAGCTCCTTCTTGGCTGTTCTCTCAGGTTTATAAAATGCTTTGCCCCATCCCTCACTCAGTCTTCTTAGCAGCCTGTGGGACACACGGTATCGGCATCTACAGGATTGAAAACTGAGGCTCAAAGAGCCACTCCCAGGAGGGGCCAGGACCAGGCACAGCACTTCCAGCTCCAAACGCAGCCCCTCTCGGGGGTCCCCCAGGAGCCCAGAGGCCACGGGGCTTCCCAGCCGCTTTCCCTCATTGGAAGAGAATGAGAACACAGAGGAGGAGCAGAGAGGAAAGAGCCCCCCCAGCTGCCCCCCTCCTTTCCTCCCATTCCATCTCAGAACCTCAGGGCCCACCTGGCCTGAGGGCATCCCACTCTCGCTGCTCAAACACCTCCAGGGATGGGAAGCTCGCTCCTTACCAAAATGCCCAGCCCTCTGTGGCTGCCTTGGTTGAGCTCAGCCATGTGGGCTCAGAGGACAGAGTTCCTCCGAGGCAGAACCTTCTCAAGTGCAAGGTGGATGGCAACAAGGCGGGACTCGCCGGGGGACGCCATGTGAGTGACCCCTCCCCCAGGCTCCAGTTTCCTGTCATGATGTGACGGGGCTGGACCACATCATCCCTGGCTGCTCGGCGTTCTGTGATTACCAGGTCTGGAGCCTCTTGCTGGTAGATTTTTTCCTTTATAGAGTTTATTTTCCAAAGACTAAATACTAAACTTTGGGGAAGAGGTAAGAGAGGTGTTTCTAAATGCCTAGTTCCAGCGTAGCTTCCCAGAAAGCAGAGGTGCCTGGGGACTTCTCCCTGCAAATGGAAAATGTGGCCCCGAGGACAAGCTCTCCGGGGTCCAAGACTTGGATCTGGGCTGGGAGTACATGACACAGAGAGGGAGGAAGGGACAGAGCACACCTCCTCACCTGCTGGAGAGTGGTCTCCAGGCCTGGGGATAAGAGGACTGCAGGTGGTGGGGGCGGTCCCAGAAGCCCACGCCCGGCTTGTGAGCTCCGCCCCAGGCTCCTCGGTCAGGGAGGACATCTGGGGTAGACAGAGCCGTGTCTCTCTTTCCATCTGAACACACGTGCATACAACCCAGTGCAGACCACAAGCCTGTGTGTGCCCACTCCCACATGGTGCCCACGAACCACGCACACAAGGACAGACCCTCCCCCACACGCCCTGCATGGGGACAGAGGCCCCAGCACGCCATGGCTGCTCCCCCTTCACCCCCTTGCTGGTCACCCCAGAAGGACAGGAAAAAGGCCTACGGTGCCAGATGACCCACTTCGCACCTCTGCACCCATCCCCCCAGCCCACTCCTGGAACCATCCCTCCCCAGTCCGGGCCTCGGTTTATCGCATTAAGGCGTGGACGCTAAGAACACTTCCCCAACAAGCCAAGCCTCTGCATCCCGGCCGGCACCCAGGATGCCGCCCTCCGCTGCCGCCCCCTCCCCGCTCTAAGTCCTCTCGCTGCGCCCGGGGGACCCCGAATCGGCTGCCGCTGCGGCCAGCCAGGCTGGAGTTCACTCTCCTAGAGTTAAATTTCCCCCGCCTTTTTGATGTCACATCCTGTCCCGGCCTGCTTCCCCGCCTTCG